GGAGGCCGTGGCGGAGGCCGTGGCGGAGGCCGTGGCGGAGGCCGTGGCGGAGGCCGTGGCGGAGGCCGTGGCGGAGGCCGTGGCGGAGGCCGTGGCGGAGGTCGCGGCTTGAATACCGTGGTGGAGACTGCGGCTTGGAGGCCGTTGGGGAGGCGTTTCGGGAGTGAGGGTCTCAGTATAAGGAAACTGTGGCGTGTCACAGGCCGACGTTGTTGCCTGTGTACTACAGAGAGGTGAGCGACAAGTCTTTACAGAACCGCTGTACTCGTGTTCGTGTTTGCCCTCCCCCCGGCGGCGGCCGAGAGCGGCCGAGAGCTACCGAGAGCCAGTCAGCCCCGCCGCGGGCTCCTCTGGCTCCTCTGGTTCCTCTGGCCGCCGAGTGACAGCTCTGTCTCGCCGATCTGACCGGATCTGACCGAGAGGCCGAAAGGAAGACCGTCGCTCGTTATTTATGGAGCAGCGCAGTGCGTCCATCACTCGGGGGCACACCAGGGTATCAATCAGCGGCGAGGACGGCGAGGAAACGGGGGACGACGGCGAGGACGGCGAGGATGTGGGAGAGGGTGGCGAGGATGGGGGCGCGGAGCGACGCCGCCCACGCCGCTGCGCCGCCCAATGAACGCCACTGCCATTTGGGCTGCCCACCCTCCGGGCGCCGGCGCGCAGTGCCAGGCCAGCGAGCGAACCGCACACACGCGCAGGAGGGAACAACAAAAACGACCACGGAGATGACGGAGTTGGCCCCAACAGGGAGGGCCGATACGCGGGGCTTGCCTTCCGCCTCATTAAGGGTTTCCGAAGTGCCCCGGCCTCGGCCCCGGCGTTGAATATGTATCGCTGCTATTCCTTGTCGGCGACGAGGCCACGAATGTGAAGTGATACTGGGTCCTGTCGACTCGCCACCGGCTGCTTTGCGTACGCACTGTTTGACCCAAATTCCTTGCATCACGTCCAGGTTTGCACGGCGGCGGGGCGGGGACACGCCGCCCGCACAAGCCCGTCCCATCGTTAGGGCCAACCAGACAGCCTGATGGGACCGAGAGCGGGCCCGTTTGGGTCCGAAAACGACGAAGTGAGAGTGAGATGCTCGAACCGGACCCTAATCCCCAAAAGTGCTGTCCGACCTATTTTTCTCGGACCTCGTCTACGGGAGTGAAAGAATTAGCTAAATTAGCTGATGCATTCGCTAATACGGCCTTGGATTAGAATATTAGCTTTCCTAGCTAATTCCCAGCTAAGAAAGCTAAGATATTAGCTTTCACAGCTAGTTGCTTTATTTTGTAGACAACTGTCATAGCTAATTTGTAATCTATGGTCATATTTGTCGGACAAATGGTTTTGTGTCGGTCCGGGATCACCAACCACCGAACCGCCGTCCTCCCACGCTCTGGCCTAGCTCTACGCACCCGCTTCAGCTCCAGAGCCTCCAGTGACTGTTCGTGCCAGAACTTTAGGTTCCCAAGGGATGTGCCGCAAAGACGCCACTCCCCACAACAACACCCGCAGGCGGCGCCACACCCCAGAAGAGGCCACATATCGAAAAAAAAATCGCGTCTTAAGACGCCCGCCTCGCAGCTTTCCCGGGAAACCAAGGCGCACCGTGAGTGATTGGCGCCACCAGACACCCAGTCAATTCTCACCCATACGAATTCCTAACTTCTTTTTGTGCTATCCTCCACATCTCTTCTGACCGAAAATGTTAATGGCTTTATCGACACATTTAGCGGAAGGCGCCCACCACACCCTTCCTTTTCCAGCTCTGAAAACGTTACGCACACATTTTAACTTGAGAAAAAAAATCAGTTTTTTAGGATGACAAAAATGTATTGTTTCAGTGACTTTCTCACTGAACTGCTGCTTCGGCGATGCTACTCATCACATACATTCCGACTGATCCATTTCGAATTCGATTCGAAGGCTCCCGCTAATGACCGTCCGCTCAACAAAAAGACGCCCCCCCCCCACCCCTCTCCCTCTCTGATCCTCGCCCTCTCTCACTCCTCAACCCCTTTTCTTTTATGTTTGTTCGCATTTTCATGAGGGCGGTCGTGTGAATGCAGCCATCGCTGGCGCCATCATCGTCACGAACAGCGAAAGACGATGATCATACAAATCTTGCCAATCCAGCTCGCGAAAAGGGGGGAGGTGGGTATGGGGGTGAAATGCAAAGGCTTTAGATAAACTATGATCAAACCAGAGTACTTTCGTTCGATCGTTGAGTTTGCTCGCTGGATGACGAATAAACAAAGTAAAAACAATAATTACAGGAGAATTCTGCGGCACAACGCAAAACACGAGCGAGAGACCAGAGAACTTGAGCATGCTGCAGCTCAGGTAGCCATTAGGTTATAAGTTGTGTACATCCATTCCCATCGCCCGAAAACAAAGCGACTTTCTTACACTTCTATGAAAAGTGAAAGACTCGCAGGTAGCGTTAACGAAATAATTCCGTCAACAAAGCTAGGAAATTACGACAGCAAAACACAAAGCATTTCGACTCACCATGTGCCGGAACTCCCCCGACTCGGCTGTTGACCCCTCACTCGATCCAAACGCTGCAAATTTCTTCTGATAAACATGGATGACACTTATTCCCGATCACACGTACTGCCGAAGGGTTTGCTGACAAATTCAAATAACATAAGTAACGAATATCTAGACAACTTCTATAATCAGCAAGAACAGCGCACAGTGCACAGCCAGCGGCGGCGGCACAGACCAACACTGACCTCTCTCGGGCTGCAGTCTTGGAGGGAGGGGGGGGGGGGGGAGGCTGTCAACTGCGAAAGAGGCGGTCACTGGGTTTAGTATCTTTCCAACTTGAAACTATATGTATCTCAAAGACATTTCCAGTTTAATTTTCATAGGGTTACTTCTCACGTTAGGAAAATTAAAGAAGACTATTTGGTGGTAGGGCGGTCATTCCTTTATTTACCAATTTACCAATTTCTTTCCGACATGTTCTCGTGAATGTTTGTGAAATATGACTTTCACTGACAATCATTGTATGTACGAAAAAAGGGCAGGAATCGTTTCACATTTAAAAAGATGTTTTCAGACAATTTTTAAAAAATGAAAACTCAGAACCAAGACCATTTTGCTGCAGATTTTGCACTTTAAGTCCCGCAGTTAACTTCAACAAAGTCACTGCTAGTCACTATTTACAAATTGTAATACTCTCACAGCCTACAGGCAAATATGATAGGGTAAATTAAAAGCTTAAGAGTCAGTTAAAAACAATTTCCTTACATGTTATGAATAAAAATTATGGTATAAAAGGAATCATGGAAAGAAGTTAACTTCTCAATGAAGAGAATAGAACTTTTGTCAAGGATATAGAATACTGTGAAAATTCTTTAACCTTGAGTACCTCAATTTGAACACAAATAGATATGCGTGTGTTTAACGTTTGAATCATTTAATCAAATTCAGCATGGAAAATAAAAATGAGGTTCAATGCGTTGTTGCAAAAACACAGCAAAAGTCAGAAATTGTCATACAGTGGCAGACAATGCTCATTTCTTGGAAGATTCTACTGGTAACAGAATATCAAATGTGCTGTAGATCTCTTTCTTATCACAAAGAATTCCTGGAAAAGATCCACTTACGTAAAAATAGAGAAAATATGGTAATTCTTAAAGAAAAATTGCATTACAGGACAGTGTAAGCTTTAGATGAGAGCCCTGGATATTCACTCAACATAGCATAGAAAATACACAGAATTCCATCTTATACACCAATTTATACTTCATATGGTGAGGTAGAAATTTAAACAGATTGATTACAATGAGGCACTGTCATAACACTTTTCAAGTAATTCTGTTGTGAGAAAAAATAATCAACAATGGATAAACATCTCAACAAATGCGTCAGCACTAGATAAAAATGAATAGAATTCATTATCATATATGGATATTTATATATGGATCTAACTGTTATATATATTTCTATAAAGATCTTCACATCAAATGTGAATAAACAGCAATAGTGTGTAAACCTTGAAAAACACAGTTCAGCAACACATTAAGAAACTTTTAAAAGGAATATAAAGGGAGAGATAAATACAATAATACACAGCAGCTAAAGAAAAGTTTGTCATTTGGCTGCAATCTGACTTAAAGCTACAAAATCAATCAAGTCAATCAATCAATCAATAAATATGTTAAAAAAAAAAACACTTTATATCTCTTGTGAATTTATACAAATTAAAAACAACATAAACAAGCAAACACTAAAGGTGTAAAATAAATTGTCAATTGTAATAAATCTTGCTTCTTGTCAAAAGGGACATGACAAGGATAAGACTGACAAAAGAGGCTGCCTCACTAGGTCACAGTAGAGTATACATTTTGGAGGTAAAAAAGATCTTATTTGTTGCTCATACAACAAACTTATCCTAGTCAAGGCAGCAGATAAAAGTGAATATTTGAAAAAGACGGATAACTATGGTTCCCTATTTCCTCAAAATGAAAAAGAGATTAACTTCATTATGCACAAGTATAAAATTGCTCCAGTCAAAATTAATATACAATTCCACACACAAAATTTGAGCACAGTAGCATTTCACTTTATAATGCACACAAACTTTCACACCCAAACACACACACACACAGACATATACATACATTAGATACATACATATACAAGCATACATGGATGCATACATGCATACACACCAACACAAAGAAACTAACACAGAAATATTTTTCAGTACTACATCATCTTTCTACAGTAGAAATTGAGTACTCCAAATCTGAATGAAAAGCCTCGAGCACTGAAAGATGAGGCAAAACCACACAGTATCACAGGAGGAGGGTTTGCATACACTTACACAAACAAGAAAGCTACATACATGTACTACTTTACAGTAGTTACAACATCTGACACCATCCTAGGATCCAGATTTGAACAAAAAATTTCATGAATGAAAACAACCCATTTTGTTCTCTAGGTTAACTAGGTGGGTAATTTCCTTCTAAGTTGAAGGACAAAAGTATAAAAGTATTAACACACAGTAGTACAAAATACCACATACGTCTGTGCAAGTTCAGTTGATCATGTGATTTTGCTCTAGTTTAACTACAATCTTTACAGACAAAGTGCTTAATTCTTCCACATTCAGTCTTTATGTCACTTTAAAAAGTACAATGGTTAAATTGCCAAGCTCATCTCTTGTCCTTTAGAATGATTGGTAGTTTAAATACATGGGGTAGGACTAGAGGTATTCCAATAAGTAACTATAAAGGTACAAATCTAACCACATGAAAACCAGGTTTGATAAAATCTGATGACCTGATCACATTAAAATGCACATCTTGTGACTCTCTGAAGAATGCATACGCAAAGGTCAACAAGTTGTTTGTTTTTTTCTTTTTAAAAAAGGCCCTTTGACAAACCCAATAAAACCTTATCACATTCAAATTTGGTGTCACAATCTGGATAAAATTAACCCATTTACAATAGGGGTCAAACAATGGCAGCATCACAATTACTGTTGTCTCTCTCAATTACAGGTGATGGAGGGCTAGATGGACGCTTGCATGATCCATTTAGAGCTTGAGGGAACTGTTCAGAGGAGCCTGGAAAGGCAGGGGGGGGTGTATTTAGAGATAAAGTGCTCTCAGCTGAAACAGTTGGTGCAATATCTCGTGTTCCTCGAAGAAGTGCTCCCCTTTCCATCTGGTTGACCTCTTCACTTCGATTGTTGATTACAAAGGTGGATGATGCATTGTTACGCTGACGGCACATGTATGGTGTGTCTCCAGGAGATGGTGAATCCCTCCCCTGTGAAACATACAGAAAATAAGTGAGAAAATGCATATCATAAAACGGTTCAGTTAAAAGTATCAGTTACACGTTAATTATCTAGAAACATATTAGCAATGACACCAAATTCCCCTCTTGAAAAGAATCATGCAGTTCTTCTTTTCATGCTATTCGTAATTGAAATAACCACACACAAACATAAAAATACAACTGGCTTCTGTTTTACATATTCTCACTAAGTAATACTGATTGACAAATTTGTGTTCAGAAAATAACTCAAAAGTTAAGAAAAAACAATTAATTATGTTCACAGCTAGTGTCTGAAAATAAAAGCCAATGAACACACACCATCATCTTCATGACTTTAAAAGTTGGTCATAAAGTCACACATACATGCACAGCAACAAGACAGTGGGAAACATGAACTTGAGAGCACTCAAGATCTTATATGCAGCATTCAATTAAGAACTCGCACTCCAGTCACCCTCAGCACACTGTGGACCACACCAGCATGAGCGGCAACTCAACAGGTTGGCAGGTGAGCAGGCATGGATGTGAGTTCTTTATTAATTGTAGTGTAGCTGGCAAGGAACTCTTAAAATGAATTCTTGACTCTAGGAATGGAGGGGTCTATTTATATGAGGAGAAACATGGTTGGAGATATGATATAAGTTAACCAGTACCTCCCAGTTATTAACATGAACGGAAGTTATAGGTGGATTATAGAAAAACAGGGGTGAAAGTTTCAAAAATCTGAACACATGCAGGTATTGTGCTACGCACCACAGTTTGTGGGTTGAGTCTAGGCGATCCCTGTAAGACACAATACCCAGTCACTTTACAATTACTTCGACTTCAATGACAGGTGAATCTAGGGGAAATATTTTCATATGAACTGGTAATAAATCATTGGTACTACTGTGATCTGATAATCACATTTTGATAATAGCTAATAAGTCTGGTCAAGTTACAAAACTTTTCCACTTTTCACGACAAGAAGTAAAGATAGATATCAAAAACGTCATTGGAGACATTCATCAGGCCAAGAGGCAAGAAAGACAATTTCAATAAGATTTTAAAAATGTTTAGGAGCAGCTTGTAACTGCAGTGGGCACCAACAGGCTCTCTGCATACAGCGAGTTTTGGGATACCTGAAGGAGTGATGAGTCAGGGAAAGGATCCTTAAAACAAGTCAACAAATTTCTAGGACAGGGATTTAAACATACATGCTTTGATGGGCCGCAGCAAGTAGAGAGTGCACAAGGTCTGTCCGTCTGCGGGCAATCCAGCACACACACCTCAGTTGGGCCAGGCTGCACAGTGTCCTCTGCAAACTGAGCAGTCAACAAAATTACAGATAATTCATAAAAATACTCAATTGAAAACTATGTTAAATGATAAAAACACAACTTACATCACCAATTTCAATAAACTCGGGCTGGATTGTAGTGGAGTGAATGCCTTCATTATGGAAAAACTCCTTAACTTTTTCTGCAATCTTCATATACTCAGACAAATTGCGCACCCTGATAAAAAATTATTTTTAACAGAAACTTATCAAAAATTGGAAGGATATTACAGATGTATAGAGAAATGGACCATACCTAATGTGTGCAGATGCAATGATCCTATCCCCAGCAAGTTGCCACACATGGAATTCATGCACAGCCAACACTCCATCAACCTTTTCTAACAGCCTACGCTGAATAGCATCTACCTGGATGTGTGTGGGGACAGTCTGCAGGAGAATCAAGGCAGATTCTTGCAACAGGGGCCAAACCGCTCGCAGAATTAACACAACCATTACAACACTGAGGGCAGGGTCCATGTACAATCTGTATTCCCAATCGGTCAGCCACACAACCTGAAGTCATGCAATAGCAAATCATGAGTTATGGTGTCAAACTTCTGCATAATATGATTAATTATTAAAGATAACATACCAGGGCAGAAGCAATCACAATGACAGAGCCAAGTGCATCAGCCAGTACATGAAGGAAGACTCCTCTCATATTCATTTGAGAGGCTGACGGCTCCACAGCACTGTCTTCATGCCCCTTGTTGTTGCTAATGGCTGCAGCCAGAGTTGGCCCAATCGGAGGGTTAAAAGTTTCATCATTTTCATTGTCATCCGTCGACACCAATTGAGTCAATCTTGTATGACTGCGACCAATACCTCCATGTGAAATACCACCATGGGAATGACCATGACCACCATGACCATGCTCTGCAAAAACAGTATGGGTTTAATGTACATAGAAGCTGGAAAACAATTTCATTAGATAGATTCAAAAATAACGCAAATAAAGCACACACATACCATGGAAGAGACAAAGACCCACTAGATTGATAAGTAGACCAAGTACGCCAACAACAACAATAAGTTTTGGCTCATGTATTTCTTCCACTTCTATAAACCTGAAAATTCACCATTTCAAAATTAACAATCCTTAATAAGCTCACACAAAAGTTTACAATAATTCAAAGTTGTGGTAATTAGGTTACCTTTTACATGCTTCAACTGTAATAGAAAAGCATAGAGCAACAAGGAACACTGCGTTTACAAGAGCTCCCAAGACTTCAGCTCTAGCCCATCCAAACGTATTTTTGGACCACTTCTTAGGTGACATCTGCCAAAAAAAATACACACCCAGTTAACAATAGCCCTTACAGAGTACAAATTTTTTATTATAAGGAGTATAAAAAATAACATACCTTTACTGATAAAAATGCTACTACTAAGGCAGCTACATCACTTAACATATGAAAACTGTCTGCCACCAATGCCATAGAATTTGTGACATATCCAACAGTAATTTCCACTAAGAAGAAGGAAGTTGTCAACCAAAACATGGAAATTAAACGGCATTTTTTACCGGTATACCGACCCATTTTGAAGTATACTGTAACATAAACGGAAAAGAGTCTTAGGTGAATATCAAAACCAAACAGATAAGCAAAACCAAAAAGATTTGACACAGTGAATGTGAGGTTAAGGTTGTAATGTCACTAGCAGCCAATATAACTAAAAGAGCACCCGTTTAAAAGACATCCAGGCACCAGATTCAGATGGACCGTGGTCTACAATAGTTAAGGAGAGTTTTCTGTGAAAATGAACCAAACCAACTCGATCTCATGACAAAGGTTTCATTGATCAAACAGTCCCATGAGCCATTGAACCTAACCCCAAAAGATTCAACTCCATTTATTTAACAGAGCCATACTAACTACAAAGTCAATTTTCAAAACAAAGTGGCTCCTTGACAAAATTTTGCCCTTGAAAAATAAAGACCACCAAAAGCACACTAGACCTCATAACACACACTGGTTTCCAGAGCTTTCTGTACTCTGGCGTGAAACCTTACATTTTTTTATTTCTTCGTCGCAAAAAACGGGGCTTGCTTTACAGCATTCTCGGCTGTAAAATTCCTTGTTTACACCCTCCTGTATCCACGGAGCGAAATTTCACTGGGTCGGTGCTCTCCGAGTAAAGATACAAGCAGTCTTTGAAAATAAATTCACTTTCCTCCCCTCGGGCTCGGGGCACACAATAGTCACTGGTCCTTCCCAACTCAACCCGTTCGGGTGACGGCACGAAGGCGATGCGACGATGAGGTCACGGGGCCGACAAAAGACGGCCGACGAGCAGCACTGGGCACTACCACTGGCGCACGTCCGCACTCACACACTCACACGCACACGCTTCAACACTCACAGACGAGCGCACACGCACGCGCTGTAACGCCTCGCCAAAGTGCCCGCGAGAGGACGAAAAGTCGCGGTACGGGAGCACGGCGGCAGCTTGCGGTAGCTTGCGGCAGCACGGCCCACCCACGGTCTGACGCGTGCCGGGGGCGTGCGCACGGGCCGGGCGTGCAGCGGAGCGCGAGCAGGGGCGCTTGCACGAGCACGGAGCACGCGGAGCACGGGCGAGAGGGCGGCGTGGCACTACAACTCGGAGTGGAGTGATGAGAGATAGCGAGCAGCACCGGGCCCACCGGGCACCGCGCGGGCACGCACCCCTCACCACCGCCCCTCCACTCCCGCCCCGCCG